TATTAGTCAAACTAAATAATATTTATGTGAGCTAATAAAATAATTTGTGGCCATCAATTTCTCTCTGCCTTTTCCCTCTCAAAAAATCCTAGTCCATTCTTTTTTTGAGGAACAATCCTTGTCCATTCTTCTCTTTTCTTAGGCAACAGGTTTTTTAGGATTTTCTTAAGTATGCTCTACAGTCTTGGAATTTATGTAGTCATTCTTCCTTCAAGTTTTCTTATTTTCTTTAGATTCTCAATACGAATTTTTATCCTCCTTGGACTTTAAATGGAAATTTTATTGTGGTCAATTGATTTGTATAAAGTGCGATGTTTACTAGTTCTTTATGATATCATTAAATTTAAAGATATTTTTTAAGTAAGTCTAAAAAATATGACATGAAAAGATGTTTATCTTCTCAAATGGCCTCCTTGATTAGTTGCTAAGGTTTTTATTCTTAGAATTATGTAAGGCATGAGATTCTCATGTTTTTTATTTATATTTTTATATTATGCAAAAATTTCATTGAAATAAATTCAAGTGGATTGGATACAAATGCTTGTATGATCCGTTTTCTCATATTAAAATCTTTTTATAGTAGTTATTCAAAAGATTTATATTATAAATGCAATTCTTATTGTCTATAAAAAAATAGTTTGTTTCTAGAACTACACCCAATTCTTCTATCTTTAGCAATTGTAATGGGAATCAAGTACATGTAATTATAGATTTAAGTCCCATGTATGACGCTCAAGTGTTTGAAAACTAAAATATCTATCTTGAAAATCCCAATTTTGAATTTTAGGATAGAAATAAATATATTTTAGAAAAGGATTGATATTCTTATTACATAATTCTTCATTCAATGTTAAAAAAAATGTACATGTAATTGTAAAGCATATCAAGGCTCAATATTAATTCAATTAATCAAGCATTATATCACTAGGTGTGATTATTGTCACTATCAATATTATTATGACTACCAAAATTTTAGTTTTTTTTTTTTTTTGAATAATGTTTCAAAATATCAATTTGATAATTGATTTTAATTTGTGAACTAATAAATATTAACTATTCTATTATTTATTAGTTAATAATTACAATTCTTAATTATTTCTATTAATTAAATTAAATAAAATCAATATTTTTAAAAATAATGTTTTACAATTTTAATAACCATAATATCACTATTAATAATCATAACCATGCTTATTTTACCATATTATGCTAAATAGTACAACAATAAATTACAATGACAATTGTAAATGCTTTATAGCAGCCATCAAATACAACAACCTAGGTCAGAGTTAGTCAATAATTAGAGCATGTAAAATGTATGTTCCTTTTTCATGTTCTTTTTAAAGGTAGGATAAAGTAAGTATTTTTTATTGGAGAAACTGTGATTTAAGTTAATTGTAGTTTGAGGTAGGTGCATATAAAATCTTAACATTTTAAAATGTGTATATAACATACTTGTAATTTTGAATATATGCAAATAGAGATATGAGATATCAAAATGTATATATAAATACACGAGGTTTGCATTTGGTGCAAATAATTCTTAAAGACCCCTAATTTAAAAAGATGAAAAGAAGAAACTTAAAGGTATTTAGGACAATTTCATATAACTTTAAGTGGTTATGTGCACTTATCTTAAATTATAAGTATGTTATATATACATGTTAAAATTTTGAGTTTTTTTTTGTATATCAATCCT